CCTTCGTGCAGGGCCCGCTGGGACAGCGCGGGGTCACCCAGGGCGCGGCCACGTAGCACCGTCCGCCCCAGCAGCGGCCTCTGTCCCTGCCCATGACCACCTCACGTGCCCCCTTCTCGGAGAATTTTCCAGGGTTGCAGATTGGCTCATGGAAAGGCTTTCACCGGCCCTTCGTTAGTGGAAAAATTCACGTCTGAGGAGTGTAGCCAAAAGGCGAGGGAGGTTTTAACGTTATTATAAAATTGGATTTGCCGGAGGCTGGCTTTCTTCCACAGCGCTGCAACACGGGTCCGACCGGTGCTTTCTGCAGGGGACCAGAGGGTCGACAAGTCATCCCGTGACAGGGCACTGGCCCCTTCCACCTGCTTGTTAGCTGTCGGTCAATTACGCCTCCCGACAGTGTCCCCAACCCAGAGAAAAGGTCCCAGTAGCTCCCAGCAATGGCTCTGACTTCTGGAGAAGCGCCATCTGGCGCGTGGGGGCCTGTCCGAGGACGTCCCCGTCCTCCTGGCTCTGACACGGTCTGCAGGAAGCCAGGCCGAACGTCAGCCCTGCCAACAGCCCACGGGCCTAGGGCATCTCTTCTCCCTGCACCTGGGGACAGCCACCGGGGTCTGGCCACGAGCGTGGGGCAGTCCTCACTCCCGGGAACCTGAGCGGGTGACAGGCTTGCTCTGGACACAGACCGGGCCACGCGGTGGGCGCACACAGCGTCCACGCGCTCCAGGTGGCACGGAGCGGAGCGGTGAGTGGAAACGTGTCTGAGAGGCAGCTTCCCGCTTTCATCGGTGCCTGGCGTCTCGTGCCTTCCAGGACGGGCCGGAAAGGGCCGGAAGGACAGCCCGTTTAGTCACGCACTTCAGGGCCCGCTCGCTTTCCTCCCACGCTTCAACTCCAGTAAGTCGTCGCGTGAAGCAGAGGCCGGGTCCTCCCCGGCGGGCAGATCCGCTGGAACGCCGTCCCGTCCTGAAGCTGTGAGACCGTTCGACTCCCGCCCCTTCTGCAACGCCCTCGATGGCATGTCCCCTTCCCGTTTCACACCGTGGTTCCTCGGCGTGGCTGACGAGGGGGGCGGCTCCCCAAAGACGCTGGCGATGGAGCCGTTTTCTCTTGCACGGAGAGGAAGTCACACTTCTGGAACTTGGACCCCGGCCCGACGCACGGCACCACCCCATCTGCTTCATGACCCTACTACAGACCGTGGCCCGGGGTCCTGAACCCTGGGAAGTCCCACCTGCCACACATAAGCAACGGACCCCGCGCCTGGCACAGGGGACGCACCATCGCACAGTCATGACTGGAGCCGGGTTCCGGCCCCCTCGCCCCCCCAGGGCCCTCTGACACCTGGGTGCTGGTCGCAGATGGCAGAGCGTCCAGGGCACAGTGACCTTTCCTAAGGCCAGGGCCAGGAACCAGCCTCAGGCAGAACCTCCCCATGAAGGATGCGGGAGACAGAACTGCACCCTGGGTCCCTCACAGAGGCCCTCCCCGTGGGCGCCCTGCACACCGGGGGCCTCGGGCACACCCCACTTACTTGTTAGTGGTCCCGTAGCTGTCCGTGGCCGACGATATGGACACGGTGCAGATCAGAAGGGGCAACCCTGCGGGAGGGAGGGCACAAGCGCATCAGTTCGCCCGGACAGGGGGCCGGAGGATGGATGGCCGCGCCTTCGCTTGGAGCCAGCGCCCGCCCCCTCCTCTCCCTGGTCCCGGCCACCATGAGGGGCCCGGGTCCGGGGTCGGCCCTTCTTTGCTGCCCAGAGGCGAATGGAGAGTCGAGATTCTTCTGCTTTCAGCTGCCATGTTTCTCACTTGGTCCTCGAACCCCAAACCCACACCGGAAGCTCCTTTGCCTTTCTCCCCGTGTCGCCCCGTGTCCAGCAGGGGCCGTGCCATGGGGCAGTGACCGGGGTGTCTGAGAGCAGGGTGGGCCCACCACTTCCTCTGAGCAGGGCCACAGGCCCTGGGTGGGTGCGTACTGTTGGCTGGGACAGTCACGGTGGGAGGGTGAGGGGGGCGCGGAGGGCGGGGAACGGGGACCGAAGAAGCTAGGCCTCAGGCCTCGCCACACCGGTTCCCTCCCAGGGCCACCCCGACCTGCAGTGCCGCCTCAGGGCGCTGGCTGGACCTCCCTGGCCACCATGTCCCCGCTGTGGAGTGGAGGTAACAGCATCCCTCTCTCAGGCCATTGTGAGGGTGGCAGAGGTGGCCGGGCATGAGGCATGAGGCACTGGCTGCATGACGCCTGCCCCGCGGTCATCCCCAGCACTGGGGACCAGCCCCAGGGGCTCGGGAGCGACTTGGCTCCCGGCGCCTGGCTCCGCCTCCAGCTCCTCCTCAGTCACTAACTAAAGGTCAAGAGAGCGCAGCTGTCTGCAGACCGTCTCTATTTGGGGTGAAGCTAAATCTGGCCTAATCAGAACGCAGGACGCAGTTCGCGAGCCCTGAAGAAGTTGATCAAGGGAAAGCGGAGGGAGGCAGAGACACCCGCTGACGGCTGATGCCGGGGCGCAGGCGGCCTGCAGCGGTCCTGTCGGCACCAGGAGCCACACGGTTCCAGCCAGTGTCCCCAAGGAGGGTCCCCAGATCACCTCACTTTTCAAAAGAACTCTGTAATTTTATGTAAAATCTCTCCATTTAAAAATATTGGCAAACAATTTATTTGTTCTCCAACACTGTGCAGACAAAAGAAGATGCCCTGCAAGACCAGACTGGACTGGGACACACGCGCACGCACGCACACACATACATGCACACACACACGCACAGACACACATGGACACACATGCACACACACGCACATGCGCACACACATACATCCACACATGCACATATGCACATACATACACGAACACACAGAGACACACGCACGCGCACGCACGCACACAGAGACACACATGCACACACAGACACACGCGCACACACGCACACATGCACACACAGAGAGACACATGCACAAATGCATGCACACACACAGACACACGCACGCACACGCACATGCACACACACCGCCTTAGAGCCACCACACAACTCCACTCACTGGGCTCCTCGCACTGTGCGGATGAGTCACATAAACACTGTAATTCGTTTCAGCCTTTGCTGTGGCTCGTGTGTGTGCACACGCACGTTCACTGTGTGGATAAGTTGCATAAACACTGTAGTTCATTTCCGTCGCCTTTGCTGTGGCTCGTGTGTGTGCACACGCACGTCCCTAAATCATCTGACCACAGCCATAAAGAAACTGGCGGTCACAGGAGGCTGGTCACATGCCGTCTCATCACTCCTCACGGTGAATGGCGTCGGGAATCACAGCTGGAGCACCGCTCCTCTCGGGGGACTCACGAGGACGTGGAAAGAGCAGGCCACATTTGATCCGGGCTCGCCACGGGGAGGACGGAGGAGAGGGGACGTTTGTGCCGAGAGGCCGCGGGCGCGAAGGCGTCCGGGGTGGAAAGCGCGGCACGAACAGCTCGCTCGCTCACGGGCAGGGTCCAGGGCCCCAGCGCGCCCACGGGCGCCCCCCGCATGGCCACTGGCCGTTGGACGTGGATGCCGAGCCTCCTCTCTGCACGTCGCCCAGGTGAAGCCACGAGGGGCGCATCGCTTATCCCCACTTTACTCTCAGGTAAATTATATGAGCGGCTCAAAGCACAAAACAGACATGTTTACTGCTCCTTGCACAGTGGGGACTGTGGAAATTAAATTAATTTGAGGAAAACCAGAAATAGTAGCAGGTCTCTAACGAGATGAATGCTTCATAGCAAATGCAAGAGCACCACGTGTCTGTCAGCTGCCACAGCCCACTCTGGCGGGAAACGGGGCTTCCCGTGCTCGCCAGGACGGGCCAGAAGGACGTTAAACAAACGAGCCACATCCACGGGGAGGAGAATGACGCGTGAGTCTCTCCACAGACCCCCGCCTCAGGGCGACGGCCATGACTGGTGAAGAGTAGCTTTAAACAACCCAACCATTTAAAGTCTCCGTGAATTTTCCTAAGAGCATATGGCAAATTAAGAAAAATTTGTTCAAGAAATCCTAGTAAGTCTTGGTAAGAACAAAGAGTCTGAGACCCTTGAGACACGGCCGCTTCCTCGCCCAGCTCAGCACGAGGGAAGCCTCACTCCGACAGGTGTGACCAGGAAGGCGGGGCTCCCTCTCCCAGCACCCGGACAGGAGGCACGGGATCTCCGTGCGGGCGGGTGGCCCGCAGTCCTCAGCTACTCAGCTCCATGCTGCAGAACCTGTATGCCAGGTAAGAGCCCACATCCTCCATCCCCCCTCCCAAATAACTGAAATGAAAGAAATTCTGTAGAGAAGTTTAAGAGTGAATCTGAAATGGCAGAAGAAAGACTCGGTGAACTTGAAGATAGATAGAATCTCAACAAACCCCAGCGAAGATGAACACAAAGAGACGTACTCCCAGACACATCAGATGCTGGAAGACAAAGGCAAAAAGAATCAAGTGAAAAACAACTTCTTGTGCTCAAGGGGACTCCAGTACGATTAAGAGATTAATTATGATGAGAAACAGCAGTCTCTGCAGGCAGGGAGATGACATAATCAAAGGAAAACGCCCTGTCAACCAAGAGTCTATATCTAGCAAAACTAACTTTTAAAACCGAAGACGAAATAGACATTTCCAAATAAACAACAAGTGAGACATTTGTTGCTCTCAGACTTGCCCTGCGTGAACTACTAGATAAAGATCTCCGGGCTGAAAGAACCCCAGGCGACATGAACACACACACACTCACTCACGATCGCACACGCTCACACAACACTAGTAAAGGGAATCGCGTAGCTATAAAATAGAGCATAGATGCATATTTCTTCTCTTTTTCTTATAACTGATTTAAAAAACAATGGTATAAAATGAAATTACGTAATTGTATTGTTGGACCTATCACGGAGAGAAACGTAGCGTACTTGAGAATGACGGCCTGGGGGAGGGTTGCAGCAAAGCTGTTTTGAGTTAAGAGACGGCACCGGGGGCCACTCAGATTCATGGAAACGAACGAAGAGCATCGGAAACGGCAAACGGGAAGGATAAGATAACGAACTCTGCGAAAATCACTTGCGTTTTCTTAGCTTCTTTAAGGGACATAAGATTAAAGACGGCGATAGTTATAACAATGAGTTGTTGAGCTGTGCTGTGTACAGATACGACCTCCATAACAGTCATCACACAGTTCGAAGGGCGAGAATAGAGCTACGTGGAAGTGGCATTTCTATATCTCACTGCGATTTGTCATGAATCGAAAGAGGGTCTAATAAACTAAGATACATACGGTAAGCGCTATAGCAACTGCTAAGACACTGACTTTAACATGCGGCAAAACCACGCAAAAAGAAGCAGAGAAACCAGGCGGGCACTAGACACGTAGAAAACGAAAAGTGAAATGTCAGGTGTAAATCCAGCTGCATAAACCACAAGGTCACATGTGAAAGTATTAAACGATCTAATCAAAAGGCAGAGACTGTGAGACTGGATTTGATAAAAACCGAGATGTAACCAGGTCCCGTGTACGGGACACACGCTTCAGATGCCAAGATACCAATCAGTGGAAAGCGAACGGATGGAAAACGATGCACCACACAAGCAGCGACCAGAAGGAAACTAGAATGTCGACACTGAAATCAGACAAAATAGGCTGCAGAACAAACTAACAAAAAGGTTACTGGCGACGCAGAGGGATCTTTTTTTTATAATGATAAAGAGTGTCAATCCAACAGGAAGACGCACTTACAAACAGAGATACACCTGACAGTCGAGCCACAAAGACACAAACCCAAACTGACAGCATCAAAGAGGGAAGGAGACGACGGAACAGTGGTAGTTGGTGACTTCAATGCCTCGCTGTCGAGAATGAATAGAACAACCTAGATAGAGCAGCAGGAAACAGAATGCGTGCCCGGCACCGTGAACCAGTTCACAGACACCTCCTGAACACACCATCCTACGGCCGCGGGATAGGTATTCTTCTCAAGGTCACATGGGACGTTCTCCAGGATAGGCCATTCGTTAGGCCAGAAAACAACTTTTAATACATCCGAAAAGACTGAAATTGTACAAAGTATGTTGCCTGTCCACAATTCAATGAAATTAGATATTAAAAACAGAAAAAAAAAAAAACCCGAGAAATTCAGAGATGTGTGGAAATTAAACAACACACTATAAATTAATAGAAGGGTCAAAGGAGAAATCAGAAAGCAAATCAGAAAATACTTTCGGATGAATGAAAATGAGGCCACGCACACCATACCTAGGGGATGCAGCTGAAGCAATGCGCCGAAACATTTATACAGCTATAAATGTCTATTTTGAAAAAAATATAGATCTCAAATGAATGACCCAAACTTTTACCTTAATGTACTGGAAAAAGAACACACCAAACCAAAAGCAAGCAGAAGGCAAGAGATAATAAACATTATGGCAGAAATTAATGATCTAGATAATATAAAACAATAGAGAAAATCAGTAAGACCGATAAAATCAATCTTTGTAAAAATGCCCCAAGTTACCAAAGTCAGTCAGAAGTGTTTCCCACTGATGTGAGACTTTTGCTTTTGATAAGCCAACATGGTTCTCCTTCTGTCTTGGCTTCTTCAAGGTGTGAAGAAGGACGATATGAAGAGGAAATCGCATCCCGCCCTACCCCGGCCGGCCCGTCCCATCCCCGCCTGCCCCATCCCATCCCCACCTACCCCATCCTATCCCGTAGTAGTAGAGGTGCTTGCTGTCCTCCGAGCCGAAGACCTTGACCACCATGCTATAGAGATGCAGCCCCTCCACCAGCATCCACGCAAAGGTGCTCAGGAAGAAGTAGTGGACGAGCATGGCCAGCACCTGGCAGGGGACCTGGCATCGAAGCAGAGGGGCGGGAGGTGAGAGCTGTCTGGGTGCGCGGCGGCGTTTCCCGGTCTCTCGCCCCCGGCATCCTTCCCGGGGGGCGTCTGCTGGTCGTGTTGCCTCGTTCTCTTCCTGGGAGTCATGGCTCCACTTTCTAGTCCGAGGGATAGACTCAGGAGTGACCGATCACTGCCCACGCCCCCTCCCAGGCACAGGGATTGGTTCAGGAGTGGGGGGCGCATGACCTGCCTGGTCTGCAGTGGGGGGTGCCGGGGTGGGCGGGGCCACCGGGGAGGGAGGTTTCCCTCCTCCCTGCAGACACCTTGACCCCCTGGAGCTTGGGAGGCTCCCTCCTGGGAGGGGAGGCCCGTGAGGAAGGAGCTGAGAGACGGGGAGAAGCAGCCCTGCGGCATGACTGATGCCCCTAGATTCTGGAATTTTCAGTGCACCCACTTCGAGGTGTTAGTTAGCTAGCTGGCTGTCGAGCAGAGAAACGAGACTGGTGTGTCATCTGTGTCCCAGGAGGAACCGCAGCCTGGCTTTCTGGGGGCGAGACTCTATCTGAATGCCGCACCGAAGGGTTCTAGTGGGCAGGAGAAGGTGCCGGCCCCGGTGGCGTGGGGGCAGCGGGGTAGAGGGGACACTCACGGTGCCCGGCTGGCAGTGGAAGCTGACGAGAAGCAGGGCCTGGGCCACCAGGACGGCGAAGGACAGGTTGGCGTGGATGTGGTAGCGCTGGTTGTGGATGGTGCTGACCGAGCTGCGGGCAGAGAAGCCGGGCTGAGTTCCGGGCGCAGGGCGGGCTCAGGGCGGCCACCCCACGCCCTCCTCCCGGAGGCCTTCACGCAGCGCCCCAGATGCCGCCGGCCCTCAGGGGCTCCCAGCTGCGCTCGGAAACCACCCAGCTCTGACCCGGCTCCTCGCAGCCGCCCAGCCCCGCCGGGCCCGAGCCCTGCCCGCCGCTCGGACCCAGCCCGAGCCCCTGTCCTGCTCACGACGCCCTTCCGAGATCCCGGACACCCCCAGCCTGCTCCAGCCCCCGGCTCCGCACCAGCCGTTCCTCTGTGTTTGCTCCCTTCGCGGCCACCGCACGGCCGCTCGAACGGCCTGACCTCCAAGGAGCTGACCCGGGAGTGTCCCGGGAGCTGACCCCGCCTGGGCGGGGAGCGTGCTGAGCAAACAGCGGAGGCTCCAGGGGTCAGAGATCAAATGTCCCAGCATGAGACCCGTGCTGGCCCCCTCCTGCCTGGCTCAGACCCCGCAGAACATCCTCACGTGTCCCCACGCACACCTGCCCTGCCCAAGGGTCCTGGGTCCCCACGATGGCCGCAGTGGCGGAGGCCCCGGATGCCGATCCGGCTGCTCCGACCGATCAAGCCGGGCCCCCCACAGTCACGGAACCACCAAGGTAGCAGGGGAGAGAGGGTGCAGGACTCCAGGAGGAACCCCGGGAAACCCCGGAGAGGGGGCCACCCAGGCTTGAGTGACACGCGGCGGCCCTGGGGGGCGTGTGCGGCTGCACAGCTGTCCGTCCAGACGCACATCTCCCGTTTTATTTTTCCGTCCAGTTCAGAAAGGGCCACAGAGGGACCCGGCTGCCACCCTCACTCGGGGTGGCTCCTGGGGCTCGGAGCAGACCAGTGGCTTTGGTGGGGAGGGGCAGGGGCTTCCGTCTGCAGCACCCTCACATCAGGCTCCCACAGCCCAGCCCACAGGTGTCCCGGGGGAGGGGTTCTCAGTTCCCGCTCTCACTGGCCAGTAAAGCCCCTGCCTGCACCCCAGACCTCGAAATGAAGCCACTGAAGCCGCCGCCCAGCTGTGACGCAGGACGTGTGGGATCTGACGGGGCCGCAGGGAGATGGGGCGGGGGGCTGGGGCGGCATCGTTTACATGAAGCCGCCACACCGCCTGGGACACGGGGGCGAGTGGGAGGTGACTCACGAGAGCATGGCGAAGGTGACCAGGGTGATGGCCAGGCAGAGCACCGACAGCGAGCAGCCAATGTAACTGATGGACGAGAGCGCCACCTGGTGTCCGCGTGTGAGCTGTGCGGGAAGCAGAGCAGAGAGGTCAGCCGGCGGGCGGGGGCTGGGTGGGGACTGGCCCTGCGGTTAGTGTGGCCCGAGCCTGATGGACAGTCCAGGCTGGAAGGGCTCCAGGGCTCGTGACAGCCAGACATGAGGCAGCCACTGTCCTGCCGTGAACGTGTGGTGACCTCTCCCCCAGACGTCCTGATGCTGCCACTGGTGGACGTATTAGCCCAGGGTTTGTGCACTTCGAGGTCCCCGGGTTTGTACACTTCGAGGGCTCCGAATGGCTCTGTCAGTCCCCAGATTCCCCACCCACCCAGTCGCCGCCCTACTGCTGCCTAAGCCTCCCCACGCACACCCCGCCGCCCACCCCGCTCCCGCACCCCGCCGCACCGGCCTCCTCGTCCACACCGCGTGCGCATCCGCAGCTGCAGAGGAGGCCCCGAGTTTGCTTAAAAGCTCAGACCCAGAAGCCATAGGCCAGGTTCAAGTCCCGGCACGACCTCGTCCCCGCTGACGACCTGGACGCCGTGAGGACCCCATGAGTGCACCTCTGTGTGCGGGGTCGCAGGGCGTGCCGGGTGGGGGCTTATGTGGGAGTTTGCTCACAGCCCCGTTGCTGTCGGTTAGACCACAATCGACCATGGTCAGTTAGGTGGATGCGAAGCCACAAAGGACGGTAATGAAAGTCACCGCTCATGTAACCACACGACCCACAATGGCCGCTCTCTCGCCTGCAGGAACTGGGGTCTCGGGTCAGACAAACTGGCCCTGGGCCCCCACGAGCTCCTCGCTCCCGAGCCTCGTGCCCGGAAGGCCAGCTTCAAAGCCTGCCCTCCGGCCCCCGCGTGGCCGCTCTGCTTCCTCCGTTCGTGGCTCTGTCTGCGTCGACCATTGCTGCAGGCAAGGCCCCTCCAACCTTTGTCCTGGGGACGCTCGGGGCCGGGAACAAAAGGAGGCGACTCTGGACGATGGAAGCTGCAGACCCGGAGGCCAGCCAGGCACGGAGAGCAGGGAGCCGTCTGCGGGGCGGCGGGGCCGTGCCCAGGACTGACCGCTTCGTGGCCCTCGCTGCCTTCCGATCGGAGCTGCTGCCATTTGTAAACTCATCCCAAGGCCCACGGAGCACTTAACACCCCCGACCGCAGGAGGCGGCTGGAAGCCTGGGCTCGAGTCCTGGCTGTCACCTCCTGCGACTGGCTGTCCAATAAACAAGTTCCCTGAGCATGTGGGGGCCACCGCTGTGTTCCTATAGCAACCTTCTCAGCGAGGTCCTGAGATCTGGGTCCCGAACTTCTCGCACGCAGACCGGCAGGCCGCAGGGAATCCTCGCCTGGCACCTGCCCCCGCCGGTGAGCAGACGGCCCCCAGGGCCACATTCCCACGCTGTGCCGAGTTCCCTTCACAGTCGTCCTGGGTCCTTCTCCCTCTCCCCAGAGCCCAGCTGTCACCGAGCCTGGCTCCGCTGCCGGCATGCGTTCACACACCCCTTGTTTCTCCTGGGTCCGTGTCCCCAGCCCCCAGGCCTCCTCCCTCCCCCGGTGCATCCCGGGCACTCAGCAGACCTCATTTCCAGAGCACCCCTGGGGGGGCCCTTGCTCCCCACTGAGATCCCGCATGACTCGCCCCACCTGCGTCTCTGCCTCCCCACCTTAGTCACTGCCAGGAGGGGCCAGACAGCAAAGCAAGGCCCCACCGTCGTTCGGGAGAGGGGTGTTAGGGTGGGCAGGCAGGTACGCGGCTATGGGAAGCCCTGCAGAGCAGAGGTGAGGGCAGGCGCCAGAGGCCAGCCACAGTCTCTGCGCTCGTAGGGCAGAGGGCAGGACGAGGCCTGGGTGGCTGGGCCAGGAGGGGGCAGCATAGGGAGCAGGGACCTCAGAGGGGACGCGGCCAAGGCCAGGAGCCTGGAAGCAGAGGGGGCAGGGGTCCCCCTTCAGTGCCCGACTCCCACTGGCTGGGCTCGGCCGGAAGCCGGATGTCGAGGGAACCTGAGAGGGAGCAGAGGACACGGGGACACGTGCGAGAGGACAGGAGCGAGCCGTCCCCGGCTGCCCGCAAGGCTGGCTCTTCCCGTGCCCCGGTCTCCCGGCCGCCGGACCGCAGGCCCCAGGCCACCCTCCCTGAGCTGCTCTGACCCGGGCCGAGCCACGCGCTTCCTGCCCTCCGGCCCCTGGACAGCAGGAGCGTGTGGCTCCAGGCAGCCCGGGGCTGGTGACGGGCTCCCGGCTTGACCGGCTCGTTTTGCCAGGCCCCCAGCCAGCCCCGCTCCGCTGGGTCCAGCCACGTTCCCGGGGTGGAGGCCACCGACGGCCCGGGCCAGGCGGGCACGAGCTTCCTGGCTGCTCGAGGGGCACTGGGGGCAGGGGACGGGAGCGGGGGGGAGGACTTCTTCCCCTGGACTTGCAAAGACATCTCACCCCCGTGTCACCCAGACCAGGAACCGGCCCCCGGCCACCTCCCCCAGCCACACAGGGAGTGGACTGGTCCGGGCGGCTGGGAAAACAGAATCCACCCCAGCCTTTGAAACAGCAGAGAATCGAATGTGGGAGCGTTTGCGACGGGGAGACCTGAGACGCCCAGGGTGGTGCAGGGGAGCTGTCCCGCTGCAGGGAGAAGGGGGCCCCGTCTCACTCCCCGTCCCCCCCCACCAGAGCCCCGGACAGTGACCGGGGGACGTGGCCAGCACTGGTCAGCACAGAGATGCAGAGCACCCAGGGGAGGGGCGGGCCTGAGGGCAAAGGCCAGGACCCCACATGCCCTGGCTCCTTGAGAAGGGGCCCTCTGGGGCCTGCCCTGGGAGGCGGGGAGCCGATGCCCAGCTCTGAGGCTGATGGGGGGCTGGATGCTACCTGGAAGCTGGGGGTATACACAGGGGTGAGGCGGGCGGAGCTGCCCAGACGCCGTGACGGCAAGGCCGGGACACTCTCAGTTGGGGAGGCGTGTGGGCGAGGGGGAGACCACGGACCCGCAAGCCACCCGGCACCGCCCGGCACGGATGTGGGGCTGGAGCGGACCCCCCAGGTGGCAGCGTCGGCATCTGAACATTGAACGCTGCGCACCGCTTGAGGCAGGGGCCCCGGGAGGGACTGACCCGTGGTTCATGCTGCTTTTCCCCACGGGCATCGATCACCGTTACAGAAAACGTGGGTTGAGGAGTTTGGAGGCCGCCTGTCACGGCGTCCCCAATGCCCTGGCTTCATCTCAGTCCTGGGAAGAGCCCGGACTCCACACTGTCCCGGAGCTCGGCTAGTCAGCCCAGCCCAGCCAGAGGGGCGAGGCAGGGCCTGGGGGAGGGGAGGGGACGGGGGAGGCAGGGGCCCATCTGCGCCGGGGAAGCCAGTGGCCTGGGACCCGGGTCCGCATGTGGAAGGCGTTCGGGTCGGGCCCCTCCCGGAAACGCACACCCGAGTCCCCCAGTTCTCGGGGGAAGAGCCAGGCTCACCTGAGGGACCCTGGCTCCTCTGGGGTGGGGCAGCGGGGGAGTGGGGCCCTCCCACCCCCACGGGACCCTGTCCTGTGCAGCAGAGGCCAGCCGCCCCGGCGCCCAGCGGCACGGGCTCCGCCATCTTTCAGGAGAATGAGCGAAAGCGGGGGACGCCTGGCCACGTCCCCCGGCCACGAACGCCAACGCTCGAGTGTGCGAGGAAGGTCCGCGGTCCCCAGACACACGGCTCAGACGAGCCGCCAGGCCTGCCCCCTGCCGCCACCGTGCACTGCGCCTGGCGTGGTTCCTCGGCTGCCAGGATGCCTCTGCGCCCTCATGCAGAGTGACATCACCGTGGTCCCAGCTGAGCTGGTGCTGCAGCTGGGTCCTCAGACCTGGGTGTCTGCAGCTAGGTGCTCAGAGCTCAGTACTTGGGACTGGGTGCTTGGGGCTTGGTTCTCGCGACTCAGTACTCAGGGCTGGGTACTCAGAGCTCAGCGTCAGGGGCTGGGAGACGTCTGACCTCCACCCCCGCTCCACAGAGAGAGGGTCCTCCACGTCACAGACAGGGCGCCAGGGCCACGCAGTGTCAGGGAGGGGCCCGAGTGTCCACTGAGGTGGACTGGGACGGCCGCTGGTGGCACCGAGCGAAGGGACAGAGCCGCGCGAGGTAGGTGCTCGTGGCAAGCTGCTGGGTGTGACCGCTTGTGCGCAGGCCCAGGGAAGGACGCTGTCCCCAGCACCGCCTACGTGGCCTGCCTGTCCACACTGGGCCAGTGGGACACACACGCAGCTCCGGCGCCTGGCAGCTGGGCCACACGTCACGTCTGTGCCCTCCCGGCTGCTGCGGCCGGCGGGTCCTATAACCGCGGTCCGGGGTGGACGTGGCCCTGGCGGGGAGGGGTCCTCTGAGGCGGGACCCCCACCGCACGCGGCGTACACCACCCTCGTGCTGGGTTCACCAGTGCTCGCTCTGCCGCTTCCCACGAGGCCCAGGGCGCCCGGCCTGACTCGGCCCTGTGCTCTAACGCAGGCCGTCGGCTCCCTGCCCCAGGCCCTCGGCTGTGCAGGTCGCCCCGGTGACTTCTGTCTGCCCCAGGGCTCCACCCTCTGTCCGGGGGAGCTGGCCGTCCCGCTGTGTCCATTAACTCCAAACGTGCTGCGGGTCTGCTGTCGGCGGCGATCACCGCCTTAATTTTCCTTAATGTTCATTTTAGCATGGATAATTTTAAACCACTTTCGAATCGACCTTTCCTGGTGATGAGTGTGTGGTTTGTTTCCACGAAGACGCCCACAGACTGTCTAAATCTGGCCGCCTCCGTGCGTGCTGGCAGAATTGCAGCCATAAACACTTTAGCTTGTTGGACCGAGCTGCCTCCCTTCCTCCCCCCGCCCAAGCTCTCCCAAACACAGCTTCCTGCCGATGGCCAGCCCCCCGCCCCCCGTCCCCCTCTGCCCAGGA